ATTATTTCTAATTGAGAAGACAAGAAATCTGGACGGATGAAACATATACGTGATTGAATTTATTATAAAGTATAACAACGTCGAAATTCATCACGATAAACGGTGATTAAATTATTATCACTTCCACCAATTACTGTTAAGCCATTATCATGTGCATCCATCTTAATATAAACAATTAAAGTTAAGAAAAATTCTTTCTCGATGATTAATCGTTTTTGAGTTCAAACATCGTACGTATGATAAACCGTAGTGAGGTATGAAAAATTCTAAAAGGCTACATTCCTTTATGAAAGTTTTCCAACTGATAAATCACATTTGAGTCGCGTCTACGTGCGTTATGCAGAAAACAATTCAAGTTCGCAACTTATTGCTGTTAAGTTATTACATTTTACGATAGTTTTAAATGAATGCCGTAATCTTTCTCATGAGCACTGAAACAACTGATTTTCGAATTTCAACTTGAAACTTTGTACAGAGATACATCGTAATGAGAATAATTTATTGTCGAAGATTCCGATCCATTGATTTGCTTCTATCCTCAAATAAGAACATTGAAGCTACTGTTATCAATGGAAGATGTAAAAGAGACGCTTTTACTATAGCGATATTTTAAGATACGAAAAACAGCAACAAGATCTCAAACATTCATACAAAAAAAAATGACTCTGGTTAAGAATTGTCCGTATGGAAAGTTTCCAGTCGAAATTCGAAAATTAGTTTTTCTGATATTTTTTGAGAGGAATCACGGCATTCATTTAAAAACTATAGTGATTTTTTTTGTCTATCACACGGTGTATATGAACAAATTGAATCATATTATTTTCCACTGGAATGTTACTTAGAGATCAGCCGACTTGTAACTAGAGCTCTCTGAAAATTTCTTCTCCGAAGAATTTTTTCTTCGAGCAATATAGAACATTCAATATTTCATGATAAAAGTTGAGAAGATTTATTCTTTTAGAGTTTTTAATATTTTACTGAAGCTGATCTTATGCATAAAGTGTGAATTCAAAAACGATTTTTTCGTTAGTGTAAAACAAATGCATTCAATTCTATTTTTAACTTACACAAATATGTTGATCAAATGTGTCAGCTTTAATAAGAGCAAGATGTTTTATTGGAGTTGAAAGTTGATCAATAGCTAATGTTTTAGCTGCTGCTGTACATGTTTGAAGTATACCTCGACTATGAGATAATGCTGTTATTGGACATCCATGTTCAGTTCGAATTTTCTTAAAATGAATTTTTCTTTAATATAATCTATTATTTCAAAAACAAATGTAGCATTTACTTCGATAAATTCACAATGATCATTTCTCCAGTGAAATACATGTACAAAACCTTCACTATCACCAAGAAATAAAAGTGAATTTTTATAATACGATGAAACACGTTCACCAAGATTTAACTAAAATTTTAATAATAACAAAAAAAAAAAACAAATTAATAATCAACATTAATTATGAAAAGTTCAATAAATATTGTTTTTCTTTTTATAGAAATAACTAAAAATATTTTCTAATTGAAATCATATAAACCAGAGATAGAACCGATGCCGATCATCGAAATAACAGATCGATTCTTTCTCTAATCTGAACAATATGATATCGACTTATAAGATATTTCTATGAGAAAAAAAATATATTTTCATACCGGAACATTTTCTAGTTTTTGCCATGTTCGTTGATCATATAAACATAATGTACTTGATTTATGTATAATTAATATATAATTATCTTGTATTTCTAGTGCATGAATATAACCTCGTGGTGTTACTCGTTCGATATGTATCGGAGTATTATTCGTTTCTGTATGATTTATTCTTGTATCGTAAACATGTAAATGACCATTATAGACACCAGCATAAAGTAATGAATTTCGAAGTCGATGTGTCATTGCAAATGTTGATTGTAACCTGTTGTATTATTGTATTAAAAAAAATAAAAATAAAGATTTGCTTTTTTAATTAAATTATATGAACTATGATTTATATACTTTATTCGTGATATTTCACGCAATTCTTCATTGATATCCCAAAGACGAATTTCAGAATTTGATGATGTACTTGATAGAATATTTCCTTCATGATCAAGTGACCAAATCCAACGCTATATAAACGAATAGATATGTTTTTTTTTTTTTTTGAAAAATTCAAAATTTATTTAACTTGTTGTTGATCTTGAGCTCGTTTAAATACATATGGCGAACCAAATGCATTCGATATTTTTGTTTCTTCTGGTCGAACTAATCGTCGTAAATCCCAACAACATATTGAGGAATCACGACTACCTGTTACACATGTATAACCATTCTAAATTTAAAAAAAGAATTTCTAATATAAAATAACCATATAAAAATATACTTCAAGAATAATTGTATCAGTTATTGGACCAATATGAGCACCAGATATTGAAAGTATATTATGATGTTGTTCAGCACATTGTTTCCATTCATGTCCCATACGTTCAAGTTGATGACAAACATTAACCCATGTTTCATTTGTATTTGGTATAGATCGATAAGGTGCTCGAACACGTCTTTCATATCGATATTTCCAATATGATTGTGATGATAGTATAAATCGACGAAGCGGTTTACAAACAAGACTAAATTTTTCAATTATAAACTCTGCTGTCAAATAACTGAATAAATTTAGCCTAGAATTATAAAAAAAAAAAAAAACAATATTTACAAAATAATAAGAAATATTAAAAGAATTATATTAACCAAATTTCAGGTGGAAGTAGATGATATAGACCACATTGACATGAACCATCATTACAATCTTGATCATCGGTTGTTTCTTCGCTCGACATTTTTTATATCTAAAAATTACTTTAACTTTAAGCATAAACGAATTATTTATTAAGAAAGATAGATAGTCAAAGCTTAACAAAAAATTCTAAGACACTTGACAAAAACCTCGCAATACTTTGTATTTAAGTTGGCTCTGAATGTCAGCATGTGATCAGTATTATTATTGAGCAAGATTTCATTTTTTAATGGGCAAACAAATCATTCCCATTAATATTCAGCAGCAAAAATTCTACAGTTGAGCGGCTACGCTGTTCGAAACTTGCTCGCAAGGTGCTCAGTGCAAAACCTCAGTATTGCCAGCTATGACATGACTCTGGCCAAGTCACTAACGACTATTTGTCTCGGATCATACCTATGATAGCATGCCGACTAAGTTGTGACATACAGCTACTCTTATAGTTAATTAGTATGTATGGAGAACGCCATAACTCTATGTCAGGTCGATCTTCTGTCTAGAGCTACGGCTACGTATACTTACAAGAAAGATATCGGGCGATCGGACCTGCCACTACGCAGCGCTACGTACCTCAAGGTAGCTGACAGATAGGTGTATTCTTTGCTGTTAAAATAGTACTGTGAAAGAGGGCAAATCTTAACTTTTTTTTGCTCATCGTAGAGAATAAAATAAATGTGACAGAACAACACTTTTTTGAACTCTCTAATACATCAAACAGAGTATCAAAAGCTGAAATAAAGTATAGAGCTGACATTTCGACCATATTTGAACTATTTTTATCTGAAAAAAGGCAATAAGAATTTTTCTAGAGAATGTATTCTACTCTTCAAGATGAATAAAACACATGAGACGATTTCTCATCTTTCACGGTATCTTTTTTTAATAGTTTCTTTTTGATTACCAGTATTTTCATGGGGAAAAACTAGTACCTACTATAATCTTCAAACGTCACTACAAAAGTCAATTGTTCAAGTTCTCTCCATTGATACTTTGTGTACTCGAAGAAAAATGAATGGGCATATAGAAAGCAAAATGTTTCAGAAGGTTTTGCTGCTGGATACTAATGGCAATGATTAGTTCGTTCAATAAAGTATAGAAGCTGGCTGAATAATAATGTCAAACAAATGCTAACACATACAGAGATAATGTAAACATAAAATATTAAGGAACTGTTATCGTGTATCCCAGAACTTTTTCCGAAGGTTGTAATTTTCAATTCCATATGTGACATTTTTCTATTAATCCAGTGAACTAATATTTATTCGAATATCAATCTGTAATTTAATTTCTGTTGAGCTATGAGAATAATGAATCAAGAGAATTTGAATTACTTTTACAGGTGACAATATTAATCTATATTGACAAGGATTTTTGCATTCTGATTCGACTCCATTGACCTTCATCTTAATAGAAAAATGATAAAGTCAATTTTTTCATACGAATGTACCGATTCCTAGAACATGATGTCAAAGATGACATTTTTTTCCTTATTAATAATGTACTTATTGTTGATTGTTTATATTAACCATAATTAGTTTTTTTGCTCCATCCAAAGCTGTAGTCGAAATTCATGAAATACAAAATAAAGTTGTCTGAAATGATCGAAAATTCGTAACTTTTACTTTTTTTTTACTGAAAATATTCTAAATTTCGATCAGAAATTGAAGGAATTAATTGATCCTTGCTTACAAAAACACATGATCAGTATTAAAAATTACCGAACTTCTAGTGGTGTCTTACCATAAGTCTCAAAATTAGTTTAACTTGGTCGACACGAAAATAAAAAATGCGAATTTTCGATCAATTTTAGAACCTTTTTTTTTATATTTCATAAATTTCAACTACAGTCTGTAACAGCGCAAAAAAGAACACTTGATCATGATTCATATAAACAATTCGTAGGAACTACATTCTTCACAAGGGAAAAAAATGTCATCTTTGACATCATGTGCTAGAAATTGATGCATTACTAATGTTAGTTATATTATTCTAAAACGTTTAGTATCGAATTCCATAGAATATTTATCATTGAATCTAAAATCATCAATAAAAAAAGTAACATATTATTTAATATAATTTGTCCTACTGGAATAATCATTTAATTCAAATATACTTTGTTTACAATATTATTCATCGGTTACTAATAAGCATTTCATTACTTGAATAAAAACATGACGCATAAATAACAACAACAAAAAAAAGAACAAAAAACACAGAATATAATAGACTATTTCAAAGTGTCATGTATATGTACTCCTTCATGTTTGTGTTTATAAGCACTAATAAATGCATCAAAAATGAATGCAGTTAGAGATAAAAATGGAACACGATAGAATGCTGGTATATATTTAAAATTTATTACTTGAACCGGTGAAAATATAAAACAATCGACGAGATAAAGTGGAAGAAAATTTGTTTGAACATCACTTATTAATTCTCGTGCTGATGTTCTTCCTTCGAGAACTGAAGTTCCTTGATAATTAGAAAAACATTTTTCGTAATAAAAATATATGAATATATTCATGGATGCCTTAGCATCTAGTTTGTTTCTTGAAAAAACTTCTTTTTATTAGACATGAGAAGATTTTTTAGGTGTTTCTAAAGAATGTTCCATCAATGATTTCAAACTTTTTTAGTTCATATTTTGTCCATAAGTATAGAACCACTAGCTTATTAGGGCCTCCAAAAGATTACTTTTTTTTTTTTACTGAGGCTTGACCGTCATAGAAATTAGGACTTCGTATGAGATAGAACAGTCCCATCTCGTTCGATGGGACAAACAATCGCTTATATAAATATTTTCCTTAATTAGGAAAGAAACAACTATGTAATTCGTATAGATGGCGTTCTTGTCTATTTCAGTTGAATTAGTTAAAATAAAATTTAATTCTATTTCGTAAATGGTTTACACATTTTAGACATTCGAGCACAGTAAAATATATAATAACGAATGAATTAATAAACAAAAGACGCATTTTTTCCTATTGTAATATTTAGAGAATGTGAGTGGGGGTGTAAGGCGAGAAAATACCAACATTTACAAAGAGCAGAGAAAAAGGAAAATATACATCGAAAACAATACGATGTAATATTATCGTCATATATAATAATAATAAACAGCTCTTATCAAAATTTCATTATTATGATATTAGTGGACGAGTTATCAAATGTCGCAGACAAAATAAAGCGTTGTTTTTCCTACTACAACAACGAATGAATGTATTAATAGATTTCACTTTCTTTTGACAAATCATTTAACAAATATGATTTTGTATAGGATGAGGCAGGACGCGATATTTCTATAAATAGCCTATCCATCCTACGCGGAGCTCTGAATGGAATATTTCAAAATATAGTATTTTTAGAAAATAGTAAGAATATAGGAATTCTCCCAGTGTTTTGAAACACCGGATATCTGGAACAAATCTAAATAAAATAAAAACTCCTTCGGGGGTTTTATCAGTTTACTGACTCTCTATCTATAAGCAAAGTATGACCTCAAAAAAAAATAACTTGAAATCATTGACGAAACCTTCTTCAGACGTTCTAAGAAAACATTCTGAATCTTCAGCATGTTAAAATTTAGCAAAATTGTTCGACCGAACCTCTTCTTGGGCTATTTTCTATCAAATTAACATAAAGAAAGTTGATGAAAATAAGTTTTTCCAACAAAAAACAGTGGCCGGCTATTCATGAATATATTAATAAATTTCAGAAATACTTTTCTTACCAACAATATATGTTAGTGTATAAAAAGGTGCACCGATAGTTTGATCAAGAATAACTTTTTTTAAAACACTAGACCATGTTCGTTTAACAATAAATTGATCGAGAAATGTATACCAAATATGACCTTCAACACCCATTACTGCTCCAGTAGCCAATGCGGCGACTAGAATTTGATAATAAAAACAGAATTAATTTCAATGCAATGACAAAAAACAATTCGATTAAATACATACAAAGACGTTTTTTATCTAAGACTTTTTTTCTTTCATAGAAAACTTGTACAAATAGATCACTAGTAGCGAGAAGTCCGGATGCGGATATGACATTGATGAGAAAAAGTTTGTTACGACGAAAAAAAGAGTTAATCATTCAATAAAATCAAACTACAAAAGAAAATCAAACTTCATATTAAATGATTTGAATAAAATTAAAAGACAAAATAATTTTATTTGTAAAGAAATTTTCTATATGATTGGTGTGAAATTTATTCAGCTGAATAGTAATATTATCATTACTCTATTTGAAGACTATGTTCAGATAAAATTTGGATTTTACTATGAATTTTCAATTCGTTAAAAAAATAAATAAACAAATTTTTTCAAGAACTTTTTCTTTCAATTCTATTTTGTGTGTTTAGTCAATGTGACATTACAATCCTTTAAAAACATTATTTCCGTTTAAATTCATATTTTTCTGATTGTTAGTGTTTATAGTGCTATTAAAAGTCTTAAAATAATTTGTACCATTAGTACTTTCCGTCTATTTTAGGATCTTAGAAAGATAAGGAAATTTCGTTCGGAAATCGATATCATGATTTTTATAATATCCTGATAGTTTCAGCAAAAACAGATGCTTCTGTATCAAGATAACAAAATTTTGAAATCACTGGATTCGAACAAGTTTGGTTTTTCGAAGTGCACAGTATCTTTTGAAAAACAAAAAACCATTTTTGTTAAAAATTCCAGGATACTTTAAGCATCATCAGATCTATTTTTGGATAAGATTTCAGACTATAATTTCTTGATCAAATGGTCTACATAAATATCCTATAATAGACTGAAAATTTCGTAAGATGACCGTAAGTGAAGAAGAAAGTGCTACTGACATCAGTCTTATTTAGGAATCTTATCTACACAATGGACTGTAAAAATCAGCAAAAATATGAGATCGAATATAGTTTATCCATTGGCAGACTTTTCTCGTAAACAAAAAATTGCTTCATTCAAATCAAATAATTATAGAAAAATACTTCAATCTTATAGATCTCAAAACTTTTTAACATCAATTCGCTTTGCATTTTATATGAAACTAAGCAATGATGAGGAGTTTCTAATAGAAATCTATATGAATAATTAAGTTGCAAAAATGTTATACTTTAATAGAATTTGACTTTATCATGACGACGTATTATAGTTTATCTAAATGGGAAACATATCAAAATGAAAAAATTAAAACTTGTGTTATGATGTATTATACAAATCTATAAGAAAAATTTAGTCAGTTCATATTTTCTTGGTTTTGTCTAGTTACATGTAATAATAAGTAGATATATATTTGAATCATATTGCATTTTTTTAGTTTATATAGAAAAACGAAAAGAACATGAGGTTACTAATTAGATGAAAAATAGAATGAGTAAATGTTAATACATCAATACAATGAAAGTTAGAGACAAACGAAATATATTATTTTTTTCAAAAAAGAACGAGAAAAAAAAGTTCAATTTGAAATCGTATTTGCCATGATTTGATTTAATTAACGAGCTGATGCTGTTGCTCCTGCTCCACCTGATGCATTATTATTATCTTCACTATTTCCACCTGCCTTTTTTTGTTCAGCTAATAGTTGTTTTTCTCGCATCCTAAATAGACACAAGAAATAAACTCTATTTTATCAAGAATGCGTCTAGCAATTTACTTTGCCGCATCACGCAATTGACGCTCTTGCAATGTCAAACCTTTATTACCTTCCATGTTGGAAGCCGCAAGGCCTTTACCTTTTGAATTTTTTTGATTTTTTTCACGTGCAAGTTCGCTAAAATAAAAATAAATTATCTCAATTATATAGTAAAATTAATTATAAACTTAGTTAAAATACCGTTGATTGCCGCGCGTCATGATCGAGTGTTTGCGCCAAGGACGAAATCTAAAACACGCAAAAGAAAATTATTATATACGCTTTCTACCTCTTACACAATTACAATGTAATGCTATCATGCTTATATATATATATATATGTAATATTGCTTTTTCTTATTTGTCCTATGTGTCCGTATAGATAGATATGCAGGTGATTAATGAAAATGTACGAATAAAAAAAGAAAAAAAAAAAAGAAAGACAAGTTGTTCATCCGAGTTTTTTTTCATTGGCTCTTTTTTTATGCTTGTTTTTTTCTTTGTTTATATCGATCATGACCAAAAAAAGAGAAAAAAAAAAAGAACAAGAACAACAAAAAAAAAGAACAACATCAATAACAAGAACAAATTTCAAACACTCCTTTGTTTTTTCATGGTGATTTCTTCTAAAAAAAAAAACAGGAATAAACACATTTCTTAATCTTCAATAGACACAGGCAGCAAATACAAAACAGCAACTCATCATGTGCACAAAAGCACGTTTAAAGAAATATAATAGATAGATATATAGATAGATATAGAGAGTTAAAAAGGATCTGATGGTTTGTGAAAGACACATGAAAAGAAACACAAAGAAAAAAAAATCAGAGGACACATAGACAAAGACATATACATATATAAATACGATAAAGTGGATGTGTTTTTTTTTTGTTTAAGGTCCAGAACATTCTAAAATGATTTATATCAGTAGTACGAGAGGAAAAGTAATCAACCACCGGAGTTGTCGATTGTGTTTGTATTGTTTAATGTTTCGAAATAGAGAAGAAAGAGCTACATGTCTACTTAAAGATAGAAGGAAAGACAGAATGATTCGCGGTTAAAGTGCTTTCTACGTTTCATCATCGTATACGCATTCAAAACATTACATTCTAGAGAAATGAAGACAAAGACAACACAGAAAAAAAAACATGAAAAAATTAGTCAGAAAGAGAAACAAAACAGGTTTCATAAGAAAATATGCGCAACACGGCAAGCACATGATACAACGAGCAAAAAGAAAATGAAAACGAGCAAAAACTCTCCGATGTGTATCAATGTTGTTCTGTTTCACAAACAACAAGTGTCAAATGGCTTATGTAATAGTTAAGTTTTGTTTTTTCTTTTTTTTTTTTTTTTTTTTTGTTAAGATATACATTTACATAACTAGAGTGGAATCATCAACTTCAAGGAAAATAGAAATCGAGATCAATTCACGCATACACACACATACATAAACAAAGCATAACACAAATGAAACAAACTGAACCGGAGTATACATACATTTAGATATATATATATATATACGTATGGTGATGTTCAACTTAACTGGAAGATGAATATATAAGATTAAAGCGCAAAAAATAGATATCAGCTGCTTGAGAAAACAAAAAACAAACAAAACAGAAAAAAAAAACTGTCTAAGGGATGTGTAAAAAACAAAAAAGGACATATGTGCGCGCACTGCACGAGAAAAAAAAGGCAAATAAATAGACTGAGATATACAAATTTTTGAGGAAGAAACAGAAAGCACGGAGGATATTTTCTTGTTGTTGTTGTTGTTTTTTCTTCTTATTTTCATATTAAGCAACACTTAAACGTAACAATTCAATGGCATCAAAAGTATACAATATAAAGTCTAATGTTGTATCATCACGTGTTAAACGTCGATTTTGATTTTGTTTCAACAACTGTTCAATAAATTCTAATAAAATAAAAAAGTTTTTTTTTTGTTTTTTGTTTTTTCTTAAATAAAAGATTAAAGATGATATTTTTTTTTTTCGTTGATAATTACCTTTCAATGGTTTTTCACGCATTAAAATTTCAGCTTTATTCCAATAATGTGTTGAATAATATGAATTTAACATTAATTTTGAAAAATCATACATATAACGATGTTGTTCATTTTGATTATTTCCATTTGTTATACTTATATCTGATGAACTTGTTTGTGATGCTGTTGATAATGGTGATATTGGATTACTATCATTAAGGAGTGTTGATTGTTGTTGTATATTTATATTTGTTGTACGTGTTAATGATGCAGCTGATGAAGGATTTTTTAATTGAGTAAAATATTCTGTTACTTGATTAGCATATCGTTCAATATTTGGCATATTTGTATTAAATTGTAAATGATAAATAAATGATTGAAACCAATAACTAAAATTTATTTATTTTTTTTTTTTTTGAAATAAAACAAAGAATTTTGATATTTTTCTTACTTAATTAAAAGAAATTTTTGTTGAAGACTATATAAATCACGTGATTGATTTGAATTTGCTAAACAAAACATTTTTTTATGATTTTGTGCAAGTTGTCTAAATAATAATAAAATATTTGTTTTCTCCTTTTTTTTTTTTTTAAATTGTTTACTGTAGCATAGTTAATGTTGTTGTTAATAATGCAGTACGTTGATCTAATTTTGGTTCATCATTAGCACATTGAATAAAATAACAAACAGATTCAAGATATAAACCCATAGCTTCTCGTACTTCTTCGAATGTTGTTCGTTTACCATGATCAGCTTGTTTTTTTTTCTTTCGTGCTAATGAAGCTAAATCTGTTTTTGACATATTTCTAAAATATATCAAATATTTTCTTTTGTTTTTTTAAGATAAAAAATGTAATCATACTTTAATTTTGTATAATTTGCTTTTGTTGATGGAAGCATTGATCGTGTATTTGTTGTTGTTAAACTTTCAGATATGTTTATACCATTATTTATTGAATTTGTTGAAGATAAATTATCAATTGAAGTTGATTGTTGCAATGGTTTAACACTAAAATGAGAAAAAATAAAATAAACGGAAAGTTAAGAAGAATCAATCAAAATAATTTAGGCTTATGTTGAAAACGAAAAGTTTTATGGAGATTACTCAAAATGATTTGTCTAAAGATCATTTTATTCAACTTGACTTTTTGTTTAATCTATATCATAATTTCGTTTTGAGTCACTACTAAAGATTAGGTATGGACGAAATGGACCTGAGAATGATTATGCAAACAAATAAACCAGTAAAGGA